GCAATGTAGGCTGGCGACCCCCAGGGGGAGGGCCTTCTCTGTGGGTGCCCCCACCCTCTGGAACGAACTACCCCCCGAGATCCGGATGATTCCGGATCTCCTTACTTTCCGCCGCGCCCTCAAGACATGGCTTTTCCAGCAAGCGGGCCTGACCTAGGGAGGATTTTAGGTAGGGATGATTTTAAAAGTAATTTTAATCAGAAACACAGCTGGCAATATTTGGTTTTTAATTCGGCTTTTATTGGGGTTTGTATTTTTGTAGTTCTGTATCTTTGTATCTTTGTATCTTTGTATTTTGTATATAGCATTTGTTTTTAATATGCTGTGAACCGCCCTGAGTCCTATGGGAGAAGGGCGGTATACAAATTAAATTAACATTAACATTAACATTAACATTAACATATGGATGAAACATGTACTTAATTCTCTCTCAAACTCTACCCACCCTTTGGAAATTACCTCAGGGGTGTTCTCCTAGATCAAGGCTTTTCAACCACTGGTACGGGTATCACCTGTGGTACATTGGCACCTGGCAGGTGGTACGCAACCATTCTAGAAAAGTGGTAGTGGGGGAGGGGAATGAGCTGAACCCGTGGCAGCACTGCACAAGCCTGAGTGAGAGATGGCTGGAGCTGCAGGGCTGTCAGGGCTCAGTGGAAGCACCAGGATCATCAAGTTTTTGACACCTTGCTAGGCGACTGGTGGTACTCGGATATTGCCATATCCTAAAAGTGGTACAATGGGTGAAAAGGTTGAAAAGCCTTGTCCTAGATGTCATGGTTCTGACAGATGAGACCAGTAAAAACAGAACTCCAAGGCAAGAAGTTTCCTTAAAGAATATATTTATTGCCTACAAAGTATTGGCATGATCAAAAGTGAAACCAAGACTGAAGTTCCCTCCCAAAGGTTATAAAGTTACAAAGTTGAACTTCCCACCCCAATAATATATCATTAATCACATTCCCCAATAAACTACTTTGGCGGGCTTTCTAACAGAAAGCTCAGCCCACCAAAACCCCAGCAGCAGTGACCTTGGTTCTCACAAGACAATTTATTATTTTGTCTAACATTAAAAGCACACGTCCCCCCCCCTTCAACTGTGGCAACCAAAAATGAAGTTGTAGCATTGACAGTAGAGCTCTCCTCACAGCCATGTTCACACATGTGTTCCTCCACTGATGTAATTATTTTAAAAAGTGTACCAGCGTAAATTGCATTGCCCCAAAACTGAGTCCTATCCTGCTTCAGCAATCTGGCTTGACAGTCCTTACTGGTTTCGTGTGGGATAATTTAAAGGCAACTATTGATATATTCCTTCAGCTTCACTTCCTTCCCTACTGAGGATCATCTTAACTGAACACAGATAGCTGGGATCCAGGATTAGCCACCTTTCAACTCACCAGAGTGACAGGATAGAGCAACTGTGTGGTCTGTGCCAGTAAACTGTCATTCAGTCTGTTGTCAAACAGGGTGCTGCACTCTTTGCATTGGATGAAGCAGAAAAGAGCTATCTCCCCCTTTTCTATGAACCTTTTTCTCATTTGTATATTCAATTTTTCAGTTTCCCTTTTGTGACCTGTTGTTTTTCAAATCCACATTTGAATCAATGTCATGATTCCAAATAAAGCTGTCTTTTGCAATTGACTGATGATGATTTTGTCATGGTGTTCAAGTAAAGCTCCAGCTCCAGCCACTGGGCCTGCTGGAGGATTAGGCTCCCTGTCCTCAGACAAATTAAGACACTAAAACATTTTAAAACAGTAAAAAAATCATTCAAAATAACTATGCATAGCAGCCAAGATACTTGACCAGTTAGTAATTCAGCCAGGAAATGGGCTCCTGACATATTCAGCACCCTACTTGCAGAAACATAGCCAGGTGTTTAGGTCTTATTAAAGGTTAACAGGGTTGGGGCCATTCTAATCTCTGAAGGGAGGATATTCCATGGATAAGGGGCCATGGCAGAAAAGCCATGTTTTCGAGTCCCCATCAGCTGACACTCTTTTTCTGACAGGATCTGTGGCGTGCCCATTCTGCTACATTGAGTTGGATGGGTAAAGTCTCTTGGAGAAAGGCACTCCCTCAGGTAATCTGGTACCAAGCTAACCATCACTTTGAATTGCACTTGGAAACACACCCAGTAACCAGTGCAGCTCACATGAAAGTGGTATTATGTATGCTGTATATTTGGCACCATTTATTACCCCCACAGCCATATTCTGCACCACATCAAGTTTCTAAATGCTCTGCAGGGGTGGCCCCTGTAGAGCATGTTATAATAGACTAAACAAGAGGTTACAAGGGCATGAGTCCCTGTAAGCAGCGCCTTCCAGTACAGGAATGGGTGCAATTGGTGTGCCACCCAAAGGTGTGCAAAGGCTCTCCTAGTCACAGCTGCCACTTGCTCTTTGAACAGGAGCTGCAAGTCCAGGAGAATCCCCAGATTGTGCACTGGGTCTGCCTAGAGTAGCCCAACCCCATCCAGAACTGAAAATGGAAGAGCCTTGTGTCCAGAGGGTCCAAATACCCACAGCCATTCTACTTTCTAGGGTTGAGTTGGAACCTGTTTCACCCCATCCAATCCCCAACAGCCTTCAGACATTTGGGATAGGATGTCCACAGCATCATTCAAGGGGCCTGGGGTAGAGATAGAAAGCTGGGGGGTCATCTGCATATTAATGATATCTCATGCCAAACTGATGAATCATCTCACCTAGTGGCCTCATCTAAATGTTAAATAGAAGCAGAGAGAGAATCAAACCCTGAGGCACCCCAAAAAGTAGGGGCTGTGGGCAGGATATTTTTCTTTCTATCAACACCGTCTGGAGAAACAGAATGATACGTACAATGCTACCCACCCCCAATTCCCGAAGCCAGCCCAGAGGAATACTATGATTGATGGTATTGAACACTGCTGAGAGGTCAAGAAGAGCCAGGATGGATGCACTACCTACATCCTGCTGTCTCCAGAGGTCATCCATGAGTGCAGTCAATGCTGCCTTAGTCCCAAACCCTGATCTGAACCACAACTGAAAGGGGACTGGATAATTTACCTCATCCAGGGTTTTCTGAAGCTGATATGCTACCACTCTCTCTACAAACCTCTCTAAAAATGAGATTGAAGACTGGATGAAAGCTGTCCAGAGATCAAGTGATGATCTTTTGAGGAAGGGGTGCACCATCATCTAAGAGCCAGCAGGCCACTCCTTCTAAGAGAAGTTTACCACCCAGACCCAATCATATATCAGTTGGACCTGAATAGTTTGGGCAGGCCCGTGCAGTGGAGCTACCTCTGATTCCATATCTAGGGATGGCAGGTTGAAATCTCCCAGCACCATAAGTTCAGGGAGCTCTACCACCAACCCAGCTATGGAATCAAGGAGCTCAGATTGTTACATAGCAGCGAGGCTGCTACAACAGCAACAATCCTAACTGACCTCTCCTGGTGTCCAACTTAAGAAACAGTGTTTCACATCCAGCAATGTGAGGGGCAACGCTCCTGGATGCCTCCCAAGTATCTTGGACAATCTCAGATATATAGCTTATCTATTTTTGAAAAGGCAATTTCATTAATGCAAAAATAGTGTATCCTTTTTGTTTCCTATTTTTTGTATTTTTCATAAACATTCTTTCAGTAAATAAATAATGAGAATAAGAATTCAAAAGGATCCACTATGATCAAATGTATATTTCAAAGGTTGTTTTTTTTCCAGAGAGGGCCCGAGAAAGTGATGATTGCAGCTAAACTTCTAAGTGCCCTTAGAAGATGATTGTTTATCTGGAGAATTCAGGAAGCCTCAGGGATGGTTTGTCCCCTTTCTTTTCCCAGAGAAACCCTCCTCTGGAGAATTTAGGAAAAAAATGTTTAGTAATGCTAATAATATTCCCACTTCGTATCACCAAGAGAGATAATTTAATCTAAGTGCTTCTACAGGGAATTGAGGCTGCCTAATTGGAAACAGGGATGTGGACACCTTATTCAGGAAAAAACAAAACTCCCATATAGGCTGATCTATTGGCTTCTCCACCAGACTTAGAAGAAAAACGTGCGCAGCTTTATCCAGGTAAGTTTGGCATATCTGGGAATAATTTAGATGTCCAATAAAATTCTATGATTATTGCAGTTAGGACTTGACCAATACTTACAAATCTCCTTTTTGTCCCCTCTGGTTGTAAAGGGTCTCAGAGCCATGCACCAACCCATCCATTCCTGCTCTTCTCTGAATAGAAGGTGTTCATAAGTGGTTCATCTTCTGATTTCTGCTTCCTCCAGAAGCAGCTCCATGCATCATGTGCATGATGGTCACTTCTTCCAACTCTTTGTCTAAAGAAAGGCTGAAGTCAATCCTGCCTCTGACAAGAGCCTTAGAATGGGAGATGAAAGCCAAAGTCCAGGTAGAGCTCTGAGAAATGACAGAGAAAGCTTTTTACATCACTTCTTTGGAATGTTTAATTACCTAAACTGTTGTCTTCCATGAAG